CATGAGTCGAACTCAAACCCTATCTAGGATCGAGTCGCGAATAAGGCTAAGAGCCGTGTATTGCAACGGCCTTCCACAAGCCGGACGCATCGCCAACGATGCACTCATCATTCACTTGAACCAACACGGATACCATCAATCTAAACACATACACGGTCTATTCAAACATGACGACCGACCAGTTTCATTCACACTTGTCGTGGACGATTTTGGTGTCAAATACGTCGGCAAAGAGCATGCCCAACACCTAATCGATACCGTGGCAAGCGCATATAAGATCACCACAGATTGGGATGGAGAACTCTACTGTGGCATCGCATTGAAGTGGGATTACCTCCAAGGCACAGTGGACCTATCCATGCCCGGCTATGTCTCACGAGCCCTCCAACGTTTCAACCACCCAACACCAACACGCCCGGAACATGCTCCACATAAATGGAATGTACCACAATACGGCCAACCCATTCAATACACAGAACCTGAGGATGCATCGACACCACTACCACCCAAAGGAGTGAAACACATTCAGGAAGTAGTGGGTGTTCTCCTCTACTATGCAAGGGCTGTGGACTGCACCATGTTAATGGCCTTAGGCGACATAGCAGCCGAACAAACCAATGGCACAGAAAAAACTCTACAATCTACAATCATGTTACTCAACTACGCTGCTACACACCCCGACGCAATCCTTCGATACAGCCGCAGCGGCATGATCCTCCACACGCACTCCGATGCCTCCTACCTCTCAGCTCCAAAAGCAAGATCACGTGCAGGAGGATTCTTCTTCCTCAGCAATGGCAGCATAGACGACGCACCATCCAACGGAGCGGTCCATGTCATAGCCAAAATCATGAAAAATGTTCTTAGCTCTGCAGCTGAAGCTGAAGTAGGAGCAGCATTCAACAATGCACAAGAGGCCTGTCCAATCCGACAAACCCTCATTGAAATGGGCCATCCACAGCCTGCCACACCCATCCAAACCGACAACAAGTGCGCTGAAGGTATCCTCACCGGCACTGTCAAACAAAAGAGATCCAAAGCCATCGACATGAGGTTCTACTGGCTCAAGGATCGAATTGAACAAGGCCAGTTCACCATCTACTGGAGACCTGGCATAACCAACAAAGGAGACTACTTCACCAAGCACCATCCTGCAACACACCACAGGATCGAGCGCTCGAAGTACATACATGACAACAAACTGGCTACCAATCTACCAGATATGACAGCAACACGACCACCAGTCACGGGCTCAAGCACGTAATAGTGTGAGGGTGTGTTGATCTGGCACCAGGACCCTTAAGTCTTTGAGTCCTGTACCAGATCCCTACCACTATTAAATGCTAGCAAGCCCATTCCCTGGCTCCCCCTGCTCGCAGGACTCCACATAGGAGCCAGAAACCGTTAGCAGCTGTTAGAGTTGGCACTCCCCAGCTGGGCCTGTGTGCTCCAGTATGGGGACATTTACCTAGAAACTACCAGCTCATAATTGTTAATAACAAACCTTTACTAACTAATTCTTACCTGGCCCCAGCCTGGATCAACAGCTGGGGCCTGGGGCCAAAGATTTTCAACTGGATCATTCGAGCGGTAACCTAAGCTGGCACGATGGCTTCCTGAAGAAGGAGCAACTGGAGGTTCACAGTTCACACAGACCACCATTCTTCTTCAACAATGCTTCGATTTAATTAAGAATTTAAAGGGACTCCTGCTCGACTCGTGGACAGACGCTGGGAACCATACTTAAGGTAATGACAGAAGGTCTTGTCCTCATAATTCCAGTTTTGTCACTAGGTTTGAGAAGGCAAGATATGGAGCTCTTATTGTTAAGCCCTTGTTATTTGGAAACCTTGACTGGAGACACGTATTACGGAGATCTTTGATCGACAGTGCTCTTTTCACCCAAAGCAGGCACTTTGCGAACTCTTCAAACCAGACTGAAACATGTTGAGCGAGACTCTTGGGCAAAGAAGCTTGAGGGCTTTAGGCATCTGGAGCATTTGGGTTCTCCTCCTTAATTAATTGGACCGACGATTTCGCTGTAAATTGTAATTTTTACTTGCAGCTTGGTCACTTTTTCCTGGAGTACTTAAATTTTTGTACAGAACTCACCCACTGTTCACGCTGCCAGAGCTGTGTAGATCGTGGTAGTTATTAGTGATTCATCATTGTTGTTCTGCAGGAACTCCAACTTGCTTGATACCCTTGCGTCTCAGTCTTTCTCTGTTGCTCCAAAGTTGCCGATTGCCAATCATTCCTCGACTGGACTGGCACCAACGAAGGCAAGCGATTGTTGGCATTGGATTGCTTGGGATCTTTGGTCTTAAAAAAAATCCATTGCAGGTAGATATCCTGCATCCGCTCGCTCCGATCACAAAAAGTTTTTCCGCCTGTTGACCCATACAATGAGTGCGGCACTCGGCTCCTTTCTGGGAGACCTCCTGGAGGCTTCCTCTTGCACTACTGTTGTTTTCGTGCAAGACAACTGTCCTTCACTGAAAACTCCTGGGCTGGACGACATGCCCTCTTGTTCGTCATCTATCTCGGAAATCTCTCGGTGGGACAGCTCCAGCTCGGGCATGTGCTGCAGCGGCACCGCCAACACGATTTCCACGACGGGGAGTGATTGCGGGGATGCGCCCAAGTGTGAAATCAAGCGAAAGGTGCTCCAACCTCCTCGTAGGCAGGTGAGCTTTGACGACGATGTGAATATGTCTGACGAGAGTAGTTGTCTCGACATGTCAGCATCATTGGATCGCCCTTCGGAAGCTACCGAAACAAGTACCAGTAGTCCAGTTTCTCGAAGCAATAGCAACATCAGCGTGTTGCCTTCCTACGAATCGCCTTCTGCCAATAGACCCCCGCGGCCGCCCACACGGCGAACGAGTTCTCGTCTGAAGAGCGTCATGCTCAGTGCTCTGCAAACCAACCTGGATCGGCTACACCCACAAGAGGCTCCAGTGTCATCACTTTGGCGCAGTCTCTCTTCTTTGAACACAAGTGTATCCAGCCTGACTGATACGGACCAGTATGTGCAGAGGATATCAGCGTCGGCATCGTCGTCGCCCGTTTCGGCTGGTTCTCGGCAAACATTACGAAGTGATTTCATCGACTTGAAGAATGGCATCATGAGCACCGCAGATATCACCTCCGGAGTCAAAACGCAGCCGTCTCCAGTACTCGCGCCTCCTCCTCCTCGCAAACCACAGAGACAAGGCACCCCGGAAAACATGGAAAAGAAAACACTGGGGCTACCTTCCTCCTTGGCAACCACCACCGCCAAGTCGAGCGAGAATAATGGGGATAGCCTCCGTGATTTGATTCGGTTGAGGAGAGTGGGCGCAAGGCAAGCGCGGCCAGACAACGGGACTTGTCTGGAATCATAATAATGGGACGGGAATAACTACAGTAATAATGCAAGTAGTGAGATTATTCTTAGCTTATCAGCCACACCGCAAATGTACTGTCTTTATGCAGTGATGGCCCGCCTCTGTTCTATGCCATCATAGAAGCTTGCACATTGGGGACTATGCTTTCGACTTTTGATGTTGCCCATCGGGATCTTAAAGGAGTGCATTTAGCAGAGTCTTTCAACTTTGTGAGAGGCTCCTCCGCATGACTCCCAAGATTAGATGATGCAGGAGTTGGACCGCACTCCATTGCAAATTGGTCGCCCCTGTCGTCAAAGAAACTTGCGTTGGAGGCATTCAAAAAAGTGTCGTCCATAGACCATCGATCCAAACCTCCTAGTAGCTTACTGTTTGAATCATCCATGCTGCAACAACTGCTGCTGTCATTGTCGTCGCCAAGAGCCAGTCTGCTGAGTTCTTCGATTGGAATAGAGCAGGTTTCAAGGGTGATGCTTGCCTTGCGCACGGGTGATCTAGGTGGACTATCCGAACAAAGTGACGAGAACGAGCTGTGCAAGGAACCACCCATATCTGTCCTCGAGCCGCCCGCGCCATGGACTTGGTTCGTGGCGGCCAATGCCATCACCTCATTAAAGTCAAACAGTGGAGTAAAGTCCTCCATTCTCGAATCATCATCGTCACAGAGCTTTGTGCATTCCTTTGGTGTCATTGGCGCGAGCCTTGGAGCTGGACCACCCCATCGACACACCAGTCCACAACAAGAAGCGCCCCTTCGCCTCGTATCGGAGCGCATGCTGTGGGCCTTTGAGTTTGGTAGAATGTGGCAGTTGTCTTGTACAATTTCAATGGCTTCATCATGAAAAGAGGCTCCCTCCAGCATGAGGGTGCTCATGAAATCAGAAAGAGCATTACACATCTTCTTTTGTTTCTCGTAGTAATAACTTGTAGCGTGAGGATTCGCCTCGTTCCAAAATTTTGTGAGCTTTCCGCTGCACTGCCCTTGCACAAGGAGCTTGACGTAAGACGCGCTTGGCTTGATGAATAACTGCAGGGCCAACCTGACTGGTCTTTTGCGTGCACTCTCGAAACCTTGTTTTGGCTCGGCAGAGAACAGTGAGTTTGTCCCTGATCACCGGTGACGGTATCAACTGTTCGTCGTTCCATGGTACTGGCTCTAGCTAGAAGCAAGCGGCAGGCTGGGTGCTTGCTGGGTTGCGGCTGCGCTATTCGCATTGCCCACCACAATATGAGCAGGTACGTGAGCTCGCGCGCTGTCAGTCACATGATCAACTCCCACACCCGACCATTCGAGTTGCTCATCGGCACTCCGCCAACTGGTGATCGGCAGCAACAGGCAATTTGCTGGGCAGTTGCTTGCACAAGATTCCTCTATCTTAATGAATATTGCACCAGCTGCAGTTGCGCTTTCTTGCAACCGAACAAGGCCTCGGCGGCTACCGCGTTAGGCTCTCCTGTGCCCTTCAGTTGCCAAGAGACAAAGTAGTGGTGCTGCCGTATCATCTCGACCAAGTATCTTGACCTATCTTTGCAGATACTTTGGAATGCTACAGCAGAGACCATACCTAAAAAATCGTGAAAGTTGTGGACTCGGATCTGACTTGTGCTACCTGTTCGGTACGCTGTGTGGTAATAAAAGCAAAGCAGCTTTCGAGATGCTGCCCTGCTTGGCCCTTTTGTTATCTGGATCCCTGCTTATGTGAGCTTATGTTGGAACGTTTTCGCTATTTTCCGCATCAGCACCCGAACTGGAAAAGCTATGAACTTGGCTCTAGTGCATGCAAATGCTTTGGTTCCTCTGGCATTCAGTCAGAACACCCCTTCCATCTGTTCCAGCCCCCACCATCCATCCTGTCACCCATTTCTACTTCCCTTCCTCCCCTCTCTCACCCCCTCCAGCCCCCGAGCTCTTGCGCAGTGACTTTCCATTTGCGGCTTGTTCGAACGTGGTACTACTGCTATTATGACATATGTGTCACTGATTTGGACTGATTTGGACTGATTTGGACTACGGTGTACAGTATGCCTCCTACCACCAGGAGAAGCCAGGCAACAGGAGACGTAGAATATTCGAATTCACTATCGATATTGGGATGATACATCGGATCGAATCGAATCGAATCAGAATCTTTCAATCGATTGAAAGATTCATCATTGACACAATCTCCCACACGAAACGTCAGTGGTGACATCCGTCCCTCCAAGCACAACACTCACTTTTTCATCAACCACCTCTCAAAGGGAGCGAAACAATAACAGAAAATACCCAGCGCTTTGCCATTAAAAAACGCCTTTGTAAAGTCAAGACTCTGCTTTTCCGGGTGCAAGTCAGTGCCGAGGGCTGCATATCGATTTCGAAGGTTGCTGAGATAGTCTTTGAGTTGACAATTTAAAATTGCAAACAATGACTTACAAACCAAGCACTACAATTGTGTTGGCACTCCTGCTGTCTCTGTCTGTGGCTGTCCTGGGGAGTGCTTTGCCCCATCCAACCCAATTTCCATGTCCAAGAAGGACCTTTTCTACTCAGAACACAAGATATCCCGTTGCCAAGTCAAGTCGAGATGATGTGCTCGGCAACGACGACAACAAGGAAAATTCTCAAGAGGATGGCGTAGCAGATCCCAAAGAGACGATCCGGGGAGGCGCTTCTACAGTTTCTCTGCCTGCCAAACCGCCAGCTGATCCTACCTTTGGAGATATTCGGAAATTTGCTCTGCCCTGCTTGGCATTGTGGGTATCTGGACCGCTCCTTTCACTTGTGGACACAAGCTTTGTTGGTCTCTCTGGGTCAGCAGCTGAATCTGCAAAGCAATTGGCTGCATTGGGGCCTGCCACAACCTTTTTGATGGTGCTACCTACTTGTTTGCCTTTCTAAATGTCGCCACTACAAATTTGTACTCCAGTGCACGAGCTCGGAGCGGCGACAATCGATGAAGCAGAGGGAGTGTTCGCACTGCTGCCAGGGTAGCTCGGAACTGTGGGATCGGGCTCATGATCTTTCTATTCGTGGCATGCCGCCCACTACTCAAGCTATACATTGGTAAGTACACCTCTGCATGCATGCATAAGCCTGTAATGTTCCTCTTTATTTCCATGCGCCCTGCTGAAGCTGTTGCTACTTGCTGTGAACCGCCAAAGGTCACGAGGTGGAAGCCAATCCTTACCTGCTAGATTCGGCAGTTGACTACGTAACAATCCGAGCATTGTCCATGCCAACGTCGCTCCTACTGGGTGTCCTGCAGGCTGCACTTTTGGGAGCCAAAGATTCTGTCACTCCGCTCATTGCCATTGTCTACTCCACAGCAATCAACTTGGTCGGAGATTTTGTACTTGTCAACCGATTGAAAATGGGATTGCAAGGTGCGGCGATTGCTACCCTTGTGGCTCAGTTGGCGGCCACAGCGGCTCTCGTGGGACCGGCAAGAAAACGACTAGTGCGGGATCACAATCTCGGCATCATGAAACGAGCCGAAAGTGTTGTCTCGGGCAAATCTTTCCTGGCATTTGCCGCACCAGTCCTCACTCTGATCCTGGGAAAGTTGGCGGCATTTGGATTCATGACGAATGCCGCCGCAGGAGTGCCAGGCCAGCCAATACCATTGGCTACCCATCAAATCATCCTGTCACTCTTCTTTTTTGTCAGCCCCTTTCTGGAAGTCATTAGCCAAACAGCCCAAACATTTCTTCCACCCTATTTTGCACCTGTGAAGGACTACGTTTTGTCCATGCAAAAGCGAGATCCCGATTACGACGTTACAAAAGACAGCAAGGTAAAGCCATGGTTGGACAAGTCCATGGGTGTTTCCACGAAATTGGTACGCTTGGGGCTATTGGTTGCCACTGTGGTCTCTTCCATTGCATCGCTGGTACCGGCGTACTTTGGAAACCTCATTTCATCGGATTCGACTGTACAAGTTGCTGTGAAACCATTGGCCAAGTACTTGCTGGCGGGTTGCTTTCTAGCAGCGCCAGTGGCTGTGGCGGAAGGTATTCTGCTAGCCAAGCGAGAGTTGAAGTTCTTGGCATCCGTGTATCTGGTCAGCACAGCACTATTACCCACGGCTTTGGTGTGGGTGAAAAAGATTGGCGGCAATGTCGAGCAGGTGTGGGGTTGCTTTGCAGCATTCCAACTGTTCCGCGCCATTTGTTTTGTGGGGCGACTCTACGGGGGATCTTTGCTGGCCAAACTCATGGCATTGTTCCAAAAGAAGGAGATTCCTCCACCCAAGGCGGTACAACCTATCCGTAAAGCTAGCTAGCTAGTCAGAAATCACAGTTTTACAGACAGTCCCAAACAAAGCTTCAGCGGTATGGGTATCGCCAATGGAATAGAAAGCAGTCATGCTGACTCGACTCTTTTTGCTAATTATGCTGCATGCGACATACCAGTACATCCTTCCTCCCCTCTCTTTGATTCTGGATCTGGGTAGAGTAGAGAAGGAACTTGGAGCTATCTTCGGACTTTGTGTTGAGTTTGTTGCCGAGGTACGACAGCTCCGCTGACTTAATATCGGGGCTGTTGGTCCCTTCGCCAGGACGCTGGTTGTAGCTCAACGCTCAAGGCTCAAGGCTCAAGGCTCAAGGCAAAGGTCCCCGCAGTTCAAGCCACGAGCTCCACCGGACCGTACTTTGTAGCAGCCTCAGCTCTGGCCTGTCAACTTGAGGATTGAACGACATTACCCCAAGGTGCAGTCATCCCTTGTTCGGTTAGTTGTACATCTCTTCCGCAACATTTCTAGTTCGCTGGTGAAGGATGGATTTAACCAAAAACGGGGGTATCAGGTGGGGCTGTAGCTCCTTTCACCATTAGCCCAGAGCAAAGGTCCCCGAGGTTCACGCCCCACGAGCTCCCACCGGCCTCAGCAACTCGGAGGAATGGAACGTCAGTGATCTTGAACCACTCCAGTGGTCACGCATGTAGGCAACTCCAGCTCCACTCTGCATGGTAGCAATGATCCAATGCTCGTGGCCTCGGCTGCCTTCCGCATCTCTGTAGCTGGCTCGCTACTAGTACCGATGGCCTGCAAGTGTTGATGCGGAAGACCGTTGTTGGTTCCTATTGCGGAAGAAAGTATCGCTCCCTCTCTCAAAGTTGTGTGGCCTAGCTAGAACTAGACTATCGGTACATGTAGTAGTATGAATATCCCCAAGAAAAATGGTTTGCTAGCTAGTTTTGTGATCTGTTATTACTCAACGGCAACGGCAATTGGTTCCCGTTCTTCATCTGTCCCCACTACACGCTGAAAGACAGCGACAATCGTCCGGTACGTGTCACAGGTATCCAATAGATGCAGGCGATTGACCTTGAGGCAGGTCAAGTTCTGCTGTGCCAGTTCCATATTTTGAATATACGTCGAAAGGATTCGGGCACACTCGTCGTTGCTCTGGGCGAGCTGTTGGCATTGCGATCGGAGCTGTGCATTGGCTTCCAGTAGCAAGACCTTTTCTTCGGCAAACTTGGTGCGCAGCACTTTGGCCCGTCGCAGTCGTCGTCGTACTACGCGATGCTCTTCGACGTATTCGTGTTGCGCTTTCACGGCGCGCTTGGTTTGCTCGGTGCGTTGACGCAGTTTGCGCAATTGCTTCTCCTTGAGAGCTTGAATGGCCGCCAGTTTGTGCTGGAGTTGAAGCACTCGCACGTTCCAACGGGCCAGTGTCCCACGCACCATTCGTTGCAGGACCACGGCGGCCGCGTCGCGGGTTGCAAAGAGAGTCAACAGGGGCTCTTCACACACCATTTGTTGCGCCACGCAGGAGGGAGACGGAGGAGTGGCACAGGAGGAGTCCTTGCTGGCCGTTGGCTTTTCCATCATGTATGTTTCCACGGCGGCGTTGGCAGCAGTTGGTAGCTGTCGCTGCATGAGACGAGGAGCTTGGTCGATGCGAGGAACAAAGGTGGAGGCGTCGCGGTAGGGCAAGAGGATTGCAGGGTTCATAGTGCGGATCATTCTATGTAAATTTTTTGTTTGAGTGAGTTGGTATTTGTGAGCAGGTAGATAAAGAGGTTTCGGCGAAATTGCTACAAGATTCGATCGATTCTGATGGTCAGTGGATGGAGCTGGTTGGCTGGTGATGCAGAGATACCCCTTCCGTGATCTTCTGGCGCTAGCTAGGTTGCTGCAGTGGTCACACTCAAATAAATTGTGAGAGATGCTCTGATTTTCGGCCAACCCAGCATCCTTGGACGAAACCGGAAACAATTTCGATCAAGAAGCACGATTCCCAGCATTGGAGGAAGAAGAAGAAGAAGAAAACTGGGTCCAAGCAAGTGCGACAAAATAGGTGTAAAATAAATGACCATGGGACTGGGACTGTAATTCTCGGCATCTCGTTGACACATGCATCGACAATGGCCAAATAGTGAAGTGATTTAGATAGAGTGCCACTTGATGGCATCCATTGTGACTGTTTTACTAGATTACTGTGATGCAACAGTAGCAGTCGCGTTAATCTTCGGATGCTAGAGATCAATTGATTATGTTGAACGTCGTGACCATCCGATAAGGCCCCCATGATTTACTCAGCAACGATTACACACCCTTTGCTCTCAATGCATGATCAAGTTCACTTGCCGGGTGGCCAAACTGAACACAATGACTGGGTCCAGTCATTGAAGCAATTTCAATGGGTCCTTAGCATTCCCCTTTTATTCAATGCTTCCTGTGGATAGTATGGAGTACTCTGATGAGAATCCGGAAGAATGCACATCCTGCTTGCTGCAAGTGCCCTTAGATCTTCGGAAAGCGATGTGAGGAATTTCGAAGATTGGGGTTCACGTCTAGCAAAGAATTAAAGATACAAGATGCAAAAGGAAGTACAGGAGCGACTCAAGACGCCCTCGTGCATCGCCCCTAAAACCGTGACGGCCAATCATTTTCTACGACCTCACCTTCTAAAGACCAGCTGGAAGCTTGAAGTACAGAACCGTGATACCTGGTACTGCACCTGCGCACTTCCTCTACTTCCTCCGTAAGATGCTACAGAAATGAATCAGTTCTTCTTGCGAGGAGAACAGAACCAGTACTCCACAGACACAATCGTCAACAAGGGTCTCACGCAGCGCGGTACCGCCATGCTACAGCGCCTGCTCATTGTACTGAAAAAATGATAGTAAACAGGTGAGCAGGGCACCCCCACATTTTGGCGCTCCCCCTCATTTTTCCCCGATTGAAATCTCACCGTTGTTAGAGTTTTCATGAGAAAGCAACAGTCGAAGCTAGTGATAAAGCAACAACAGAGCAACAGATACATTCCAACAAGAGGGGAACGTTGATCAGTCGATCAGCAGCCAACCAACGACGACTTAACTCGATACATTGCTCCACAACATACCTCTGTAGGCATCTGCCGAGTTAGGTCAGCAATGGCGACGGATCGAGTGATTGTGGACAGCTTTGTTACCGTGGCATCGGGGCGTCATGGCCTCTGGCTACCCAACATCTTTTGGTGTGCAGAGGTTGGAAGGAACTTGGATGTGTCGATAACAGAAACGGGGCTCCTGCGTGCCCTCGAAAGTCAGAATGCCATCAACAGAATGTTTGCTGGCCATGATAGCCATCGATACGGAAGCATCCAGAAGATTGAACTGCTTGAAAAGAGGATATCGAAGGCCGAGGGCAAGGCTCCAACCAGAGTAAGATTCATGGTGGTAATGTCAAATGGCATAGAAAAGATTAAAGGCAATCAGTCAGAGGTATCAAACTTTTTTCAATGCAGATACGCAACGTACTGCCGAGCCATTCAACGACGGCTCCGGATCCAAACAGCAATTGCAGCCTTACCTCAACAGGACGCAGATGCGAGGCCTCCACGGACTGTCACACCCACAAATGAAGAAGAAAATCCTCCTCGGCCAACAGCTACAGAGCCGCGGAGAGCTGCCGAGCCGCGGAGAGCTGCCGAGCCGCGGAGAGCTGCAGAGCCGCCGAGACCTGCAGAGCCGCCGAGACCTGCAGAGCCGCCGAGACCTGCAGAGCCGCCGAGACCTGCAGAGCCGCCGAGAGCTGCAGAGCCAACACCTTTGTCGCCACGCGAAAGAGAGTTGCGAGACCTGTTGAAATCATTCATTAAAGAAGACTATGTCAATGCAGATGACGTGTTGACATGTAGCGCCGACAAAGCCATTGCTTTGATAGAGGAATTTGCCTCTAACAGAACACAAAATAAAATAGAGCGGCATCATGAGATGTTTGATAATGGGCATGGTAGCCATAACGACTTAACCACCAGAGTTAGAGACCCAAACAGATACTTACCCATTTTCAAAAAGCACAACTTGCCCTTCAAATTGTCTGCTGTCAACAACTTGTTGAAATCTTTTCTTGAGCTGTCAGTGGAAGTGCCGGAAGCCTTGTGGTTGCCAAAGTTTGGAGGCAGCAAAGGAGGAGGAAAGAGGTTAGTGCCGGTGGTGCCCGCCGAAACATCAAAAGCAGCTTACAAGAATGGAAAAGAGTTTACTCCAAGCTTGTTCAGAGCGCTCACTGTCGATCCAAAAGCAGCAGTCGACACATACACGAATTGCTTCGTGATGATCAACGTCTGTCGATTTTTCAGCAAGCAAGCGTTCGAGGACGTCTGTCGAACAAAAAGCTCAATCAGTAAGAGTTTCAAGATGTCACCACACCGACAGATAGCGATGTTCCACCAGTGCAATCTAACATACCAACACGGCAGAGACATGCGGCCATTCTTCAATGCCGAGAAGTGCAATCCTTTAAACTCCGAAGCCGTTATCCGAAAACTGGAAGTGTCGCCAACAATAGCTCCGGCATTCACGACATTCCTTGAGAAAAAAGAAAAGAGGAATGCTTGGCATTTGCCAGTTGACAAGGTCATGGAAGAGGTTGTGCCAAAGCTCTCAGCAGAATTGAGCAACACACCAGATCGATTTGAGCTGCATGCTCTATTCTCAGCAGACCATGGCCAAGGCGCTTGGAGAGCAATCGTCACCGCCATCTTGATTGACCTTCAGAGGTTTGAGGTTGTAGCAGAGAAGGCTGTCGAGGTTGCCCACATCGACTGCAAAAAGGATACACGCGACGTCTTGGTTGATAGTGGTGTTGCCACAGGATTGAACAACTCTCTCCATCGAGTGAAGAATTCAACGGCGTTTGGAATCAAGGTCAAACTCAAGGCATCAAACGACCTAGCCATGTGTGCTCTGGCACAAGGGAGAGATGGCATGTCTCCTCATCACTGTCCTGTATGTGTGCTCCGTCGAACTCAATTTCAAAAGTGCCCTCGAAAAAAAGGGACACCATGGACTATTGAATCAATGAAGGAGAGATTCGAGTTGTTAGAGAGTGGAAAGATAAAGAGAAACAATGCCGACAATGAGAAAGGACTCACACACTCGATGCTCTTCGATTGTATCGAGCCAGAGGACTATATTTGTCCTGTGCTCCACGCCATCGATCTCCTGGCAAACACTGTTTTGAATTACCTTCAAAAGTATGTCTGGAATCGATTGGAGTCCGTTGATATTGTACTCTTGTTGGCCCGTGAAGCTCGAGTAGGCGCCGAGAATGTGAAGGATAGATGCTGGTCTGATCGATTGGACGCATTGGAACATTTGAATCACATGGAAAATGAACTGGAAGATGTTTTGCCAGAGAGTGGCTACATATACGACGATGCAGAGCATAAAGCTCTCCATGATGAGATGTTGCGGCATGTAGAGGATGCAAAGAAAGCTGTCGCTCAAGCCTCCGACGAGTATGACAAAGCCACATCGGTCGCTGCAGAAAAGAGAAACATTGTCTCAAAGTTAGAGCAGCAACACAAAGTGCACGGACGGGCCTACCAGGATCTCTGGATGAGCATCCAGAGAATGATGAGAAAGGATTTCAACGTCTACCCCTCAACTTACCACGGCGGAGCACTGGAAGGAAATGAGTGTCGCAGATTGATGAGGCACGCCACTCCAATCATGGCTGCTGTTCAAAAATGTTTGGTGGAGTATCGAGAAACACTTTCAGAGGATCGCCTGATCAAATGTGCCGACGAAGCTGAGATTAGCCACTTCTGTGATGGATTTGAAAGGCTGTTCCAATATATGGATATCATTTCCCACTATGCGTATCAACCTTTTGGCAGTATGACCGACAAAGACTTATTTGACGCCAAGAAAACAATCAAGATGGCCACGGAGCTTTGGCACCGGCTGATGCCAACCATTCCAATGAAGGTCCACATGTGGCAGCATCTTGCGGATGATCTTGAAAAGTACCGCGGCCTCAAAAGCCACATGGAGTCTGCCATTGAGCGAGCCCATCAAAGAGGTGTAAAACATGCCAGGAGACTGCACGCCGTCAAAGATTATGAAAAAAAGCACGAGAACATCCGCCGTCTAGATGCGACTGCGGATTCCGCCGCTGTTCAAGCTTTGCTCGAGGATACAAAGCAGAAGAAGCAAAGCCGAAAGAGAAAAAGGGGAGCCAAGGCAATGCTCCACGCTGAGACCCGAGCGGAGTACATCCAAAGTGTCTTGGCACTCCCCGTGATAACAGCGAAGTTTCCACCTCTCATAGAGCTGCAGAAGGCAAGCTACAAGCGCTTGGAGGAGTCTAGATCTAGAGCATAGTGTAATAATAGGAGCGTTCCTCGATAAGGACATGTCATCTTGGTTTGTTTCTTCGTTCGCGACGAATTTTGGCTTTCTTCACCAAACTTTCGAATTGAACCGCGATTCGAAATATGAGTCATGAGTACAGTATAACACAGCTTATGTATCATTATGATCCGTGTGGTCTTCTAAGGTATAGATTACCACTGTATATTCTCCTAGCAGTCCTGACTCAAGACTTGGTGCGGCTACAAGCAACAAGCTGGATACCACCGGTATTGCGACTATCTATTGCTGTCAATGACGGCGACAAGGACTACGGTGTACATGGACGAGGCCGGATTCGAAAGATACCCAATACAACAATACGCCTATCGGCCCGTGCTATCTAGCTAGAGAATCAAAGTAACATGATACGACGACTAGAATAAAGGAACAATTCTACATCGTATCAACCTCTCTGTTTGGTTCATTTGCTTTTCCGGTACGACTGTACCACTCTGCTCTGCTTGGCTGCTGGAACCGACTAAGGAGTGACAATGCTTGAATCATCACTAACAAAGCCATCATATCCTTCCAGCTTGCCCACAAAAGATCCTTCCATCAAGCGCTCAAAAGAGCGCTCAAAGGAACACTCAACCGACCTGCCAGCTGCCTCTTCGGCAATCCAATCAATGACAACTTGTGAGGCGTAGACAGATGCCTGATGGAACGTCATTGCTGATCCCGAGGCACCATCCCATGGCAACGTAATCACAAGGCTATCAAAGCCCTCGGGACCGTCTGCTTGAAGATTGAATTCAAATCGGATGGCTTTGCGGCCAGACTTCCTCGTCTTGATCTTTTTCACTTGAGTGACAGTCCAGGATGCATCCGGAGGGAGAACAAATGAAGCGGCATTGCGATTGGAATTGACTCTATGAATGACAACACGAAAGAGCGGAGAGTCTCCGAATTGCTGCAACGTAATCGGTCCATCGATAGAATGGGCATCAGTGCCGTGGTTGACCTGCGCAACCAACGTTGCAACGGAGGCAGCGGTCTCCCCACCATGTTCCTCAAGGGATGCGACGACTCTCCAAGAAACCATGGTCGATGATATGATGGTCAAATTTGTGCGAGCAGTCGACTCGAGTTGATTGGATTCCTGGCGGTTCAAATTTGCCGCGCACTCGATTCAAATTCAAACCACGGCTTTCAAGAGAAAGGAAATTTTGTCGGAGGCTCTGCAGCTGATAGCATTGACAGTAAAGATAGAGTCTCACAAGTCGATCAGGCCTCAGAGTCACTCTGAATCAAACCATCCATCATGAGCAAGCCCTCTTACTCTACCAAAGAATGCCATGTCGCCGTTTATGATGAAGCCGCCGGTAGTTCCATCGAGTCTGTCTACTTGAAGAAAATCACACCGATCTCTAAGAAGTCTAAGGACTTGCTCCGCAAGGCAGTCAGGGATGCCCTCGAACGCTACTCTCTCAACAAGGATGTCTTGATTGTCGCTTCTCTCGGAGGATACGTCCATTGGCCGGATGATGTGTTTGTCGCTTTTGTCGACAACTTGCGAAGTCTTAACGCTGCTGAGCGTGTTGCTTGTGCCACCACTGACTGTATTGTTCTTGTCAACAGCGAGGGATTCACTGTCACTCTTCGTATTCTTGGTGCAAAGAAGTTTTTCTTTGAAGGAGTGCCTGACGACGATTCTGAGAATTCGGAAGACTCATTTGAAATGGACCCCAATCTCCACTCGCAGCAAGTTAACATCGTGTCCAGCTTCCATAACATGCACTCTACCCCCAAACGCAAGTAGTCATCCAAGGAATCACTTGTTGAGCGGACTGTATGAGCCGTCATGACACGACAAGAGCGCCATTGTCGGTTGATCGAACAGATCGAACAGATTGAATGAGATGGCTAGCTTCTCGGTGGCGGAGGTAGCCCTGGTTAGGGTTCAGGATTCCATGGCGTCGGTTGGATTTAAGCAAAAAGTAGCCGTTTAACTCTATAAGCATTATTGGATGTGTAAATGCTTTGCGCCCGTAGAAGCTACATGGGATCCGGTAGGTAGCATCCTTATCGATTGTGAGAAAGAAAGTTGAGATTGACACGTTCTTACATTGTGGCTTGTAACTCTTGGCTACTCGTACATGTAATCTAATCGAAGTGTGCCCTAATTTGCTGGTTATGCTTAGCAACCCGATGAAGAGACTAAGTCTTGTACACGCATGGTGGTACCGGTTACGGTGGATGCATATGTACCTCTACGTGTAACTTGCTACATGTCTACTAGCTAGCTAGCTAGGTGGTAATAACGTGATAACCAGGCAACTTTGCAAGCACGAAGTGCTTGGTGCCACTCTACAGGCTGAATCAAACTATCGCGACAAACGCAAGCCCGCTAACTCGATGCGAACCGGAACCTCTTGAAAAGACTTAGAGGACTCGTATTAGCCTCAACCCTAACTCAACTGACATCACTCCGATCAATCGATTCGGCTTTTTTCAGCGTTCGTCTCCTGTTTCCTCAGTTTGGTCGCTACTGATCCTTATGAGAAACATGCACAACCGAATATTAATCCAGCCATTGTGCCATTACCGTAGAGTTACACGATCGTGACAGTACCGAACACACACAGGTTCGCTTTACTGCTACACCCGTTCCGGTAACCTTGCTTTGGATCCTTATGAGAATAATGCACAACCGAACATTGTAATCCAGCCATCGTAGCCAGCTACCGTAGAGTTCATCGATCGTGACAGTGGCAACGTACGAACACACTCAGTTCGACTTTGCTCGCTCATCGTTACCTCGCATTGGATCCTTATGACGAATACATGCACAAAACGGAATATTGTTAATCAGCCATTGTAGCCAGTTACCGTACAGTTACATCGGCGACAGTGTCAACATACGAACACACTCAGTTCCCTTTGCTGGTACATCCGTTGCCGGTACTTGCATTGGATCCTTATCAAATACATGCACAACCAATATTGAATCCAGCATTGTACCGGCTGCGTTAGCATCGACGACAGTGGCAACGTACCGAAGTTCGGCTTTGCTCGCTACCGGTTCCTCGCATTGGATCCTTATGAAATACATGCACAACCGAATATTTTCATCCAGCCATTGTAGCCAGTTACCGTAGAGTTACAAACATCCGTGACAGTGGCAACAGTACCGAACACACAGGTCCCGCTTTACTGGCTACACTCCGTTACCGTACCTTGCATTGGATCCTATGAGAATACATGCACAACCGAACATTATGAATCCAGCCATTGTAGCGGCTGCGTATAGCTACATCGACGACAGTGGCAACAGTACCGAAAGTTCGCTTTGCTCGTACGTTACCGTGACTCGCATTGGATCCTTGTGACGAATACATGCACAACCGAATATCTCAATCCAGCCTGTAGCCAGTTACCGTAGAGTTCATCGATCGTGAAGTGGAACAGTACCGAACACACGCAGGTTCGACTTTGCTCGCTCACTCGTTCTACCTCGCATTGGATCCCTATGACGAATACAGCACAACGAATATGTCAATCCAGCCATTGTACCAGCTGCCGTATGCTAGCTAGTGGCAACAGTACTTGATTTGGCATACAGGAAAAGGGTACCGACACAGAAATCACCACAAAACAGTAGGAAATAAAAGAAGGGATGAATCGGTAGGAGGATCCACTCTCTTTGTGTGTTGTCGAGTAGCTGCCTGCTCCTGTTCCTTTCAAGATCGACGACTCGATGATCTATATCTTACGAAAGAAGCAAGTCGTCGCCCGAGGACTTTAGCATACAGAAAATGGGTAGCCGACACAGGAATCACCACCAATACAAGGAAATAACACTGGAGGGATGAACCAGAGTAGGATCCACTCTCCTCTGTGCTTTGTGCGTGTCGTGTAGCCTCCTCGGTTGACGTTGCCATTAATGACTCGAAGACGTCGTTCATGCTGTTGGTAGGGCTGGAGTAACAGTTCCCCGTACACATACCTCCGTAGCGGTAGCCTCTTCTTCCTCGTGTTATTCGGAGCGATCAATCGTCGTTCGACAATGGATTTCCTCGGCGTCAGCAGACAGCAGAAGAAAACAACAAATAGATATAAGTTTTGTTTTCTGTGCTCAACTGCAGACGACCGGAGGCTTACCATTGTTTTTCAAATTGCACCAACTTGGCCGTCATGGGCCGAGAACTGACTGCCATCCCACGGTCCATAGGATTCAATGAGGGATGGTTTTCGAATCTACACCGGAGAAGGACGGCTTGGATAATAATAGAGGTGCGATCGATCGATTCGAATAACTAAAACCAACTCACCTGTTGACGGCCGAGCTCGGAATTCTCTCCTGTTTACCATAGGAATTGAATGAGGGAGAGAAGTCAGCGCTGTACCTTCAATTAACACTCTTGATAATAGGCTTACCTCATTGCGATCCATTCGATTGATCGGCCGATTGGATAAAGCACTCACCATGCATTGTTGTCGGCCAAGCTTGGATTTACCTCCTGTTTACCATACGAATTCAATGAGGGAGAGAAGTCAGTGCTGCACCTTCAACAATGGACTTGGCTGGACCTGTACGACTGTACGAGTACGTAGTAGTGGAGAGGTGCGCATGCGATTGGATTAGTTTAACCTTAACCTTAGCAAAATCTTTTTATCCACGAATCAATCTAAATCTTTCGAAAGGGAACTTTTTACTTAACGATACACATGACCGTTGATTCTGCAACTGAAGTGCGGCTACTCTATTTTCCACAGTAAACGCCGGCAAATCGATTTCAGAGTGCAACTGAGGGGGTAACCAAAAGGTGCGTCGTCTCATTGAGACGTAATCCAAGCCACTCCTACCAGGTACCGGTACATACACCTCTTCTTTCATTATTCGATCGATACCTCTATCTTTATTCTATCAAGATGATGCTTCCTCCTCTTCTTTACAGCGGCTACTCCTCTTAACACAGGCTACTACTCACCACCATGACATGCTCCTTTTCTTTGGCCCAGCTGGAAGCAGCGGCAGCGGCAGCCGTTCGACGGGTCGATTCAGCCGATGACTTGTTTCTTGTTCCACGGAGCGATCGATCGGAGCGACCATGACGCCTCTACCGCTATTGCAACAACAGGTGACTACTTCTAGTACAACAAGAGACGCCTCTACAATGGCACTGGCGACAAGTCTCTTCCGTTCGACGGCTCGATTCAATGATTCGGTTCGATTCGATTCTGCACGGTTGCTTCTTCCTTCTTTCGGTCGACAACGACTTTTCCACGGATCGACGACGGCTCTTCCGGCAGACGGACGACAAGGAAGGCTCCTTCTAGTGCTACTACAAAAGGAACAAGCGGCATCTACTCTATTGACTGGTTGACCGACAACAAACAAACAGGAAATCTTCTCCGTTTTGTGGCCATCAAGCCAACAATTCTCCTTTGAACCTTTGGGATGGGTGCTCCAGTCTTCATGCAGAGCCACCAACTCCTCTACCAGACTCTACAGTGCAGGTTGGGTGCTGAGAGTGAGGGCTGGAGCACCTTTCCCATGGAGAAATGCATGGCAGAATGACAACAAAATGGAATCCAAGCCTGACTTTTCCTAGATGCTCCATAGGAAACCTTGGAGATAGCTGAGTCCCTTCATGGTGTGGCTCTGTGAGTGTGTTGGGGAGCTAGTTCTCTGACAGACTCAGCTAGAACAATGTAATAGTAGAGCTAGAGACCATTTGGCCAACACTGTTGCCATGGTGGTAAAATTGATCTTTTCTTTGTTCTTTGTTATTCTTTGGTGCTCTGCTGTTTCGCGGCAAATCAAGCACGATTCGCGAAATGACCACTTCCGGATTCCAATTTCCGAAAACAGAAAAATAACCGTCAAAATGCTCACATTTCACACCTGTCAACGGTAAATAAAGTCATCCTGTACTGGCTGAGTTGACAATGACCCCACCCTTTAATGCTCAGAGCCCTGAAACCTGAAACCCCGGTTTGGAACGACCTGTTTTTCTGCGGGAGTTGGCAGTCTTGTGGCTAAGCGTCATGTCATTGCGCGACGATCCTTCTTGGTACCTTCTTGGTAGCGGTAGCTCTTCCAAGCGCTCGCTCTTGGGTCAATTGCAAGTCAAGACAGGCTAAAGTGCCAGTAGATGTTGGAAAGCAAGGTCAATCCCCTGCTCAGCAGCATTCGTTTTAAAGTGGATTGATAAGTTTCTCTCGATCGTTAGAAGGGTGGAATTACTTACTTGAAAAAGGAAAGAGGCGACCTGTAAGCTGCGGTACAATGCAACGGCAACGACGATGGCATTAGAGTGTGGTATCAGTGAAAAGGGCACGAGACCTTCCGGTCGAAAGACAAGTGGCCGTCAATCGATGAAGCAATAAACAAAGGTTCAAATAATGTTCAAAATTTAATCACAAATCCCTTTTTGGGCCTCATCGATTGGTTTACATGTACGTATGTAATCCATCGACTCTCAGTTGTAAGAGATGCCGCTGAACGATGTCATCAAGCTACCGTACGTGCTAGCTACTACAGTACCAAAGTGCTGTACCTGGTAACTAGACTAGTCCAGACCTAGACTTCTTGCCATAGAGGATCAGAGCAGCTTCAGAGCCCATGCAACCCAGTCAGGCGGGAGATCGAGTGGGATCTTCAACGACACGATTTTGCTCGAACGGCAACCGTCCTGGCGACGCCTCGAACATTTCAAGGAATCGACTCGACTGCGACTGGATGCAACCTCAACTCAGGCTAGCTAGCCATGGCTTCCGTATCAGCCCATATGTCTCTTGAGAAGCGAGGACAGCACGGTGGCGAGCTGCAAACTGAGCGCAAACTGACAGGCCTCATCCCTATTGAACCAGTGCGGTTGTGGCCAGCTCGGAGAGGCGGCAACTACCAGCTCTTGATCGGAGGATCAGCAACCACTCCCTGCTTCCCAGCCAGCTCTCACACCATCTGCAGTGGCAACCAGTTTATGCAATCACGCACGTGTGTACCTAGCTACTAGCTAGGTTGCAATGGTTTCTTGTTTGTCGTCTCACTACCGGTACCGGTACGGAGGGAGCGCTCGTCTGAGGCCGCAGTGAAGGCAAGCAGAGACTTACTCCTGCTGCGTCGAGGCCCTTTAAACTGTAGCTACATGTAGTTGGAGCGGAGGCCAGACACGATAGATGTGCCCTTGATCCAGGATTTTCTTTCATGAGGCAAGGTGCAAGGCAGCAAATCCACCGTTGCAAGGTACTAGCTAGTACGTGCTCCGGCTCTTGGCTCGGAGATCGATGGATCCACTGCACCTGTAGTGTTACAGTGTGATTCGATTCGATGCGATTCCTCTCCGTCCTTCAGTCCCCTTCTGGCCCGGCTGGCACTGTCGATTCAATGAACTCTTCCTCTGCAGTGGCGGAGTGTGATATTCCTTTCGGCTCTTTTGGCCGTCAGATGGTGCCAATGCATTTTGTTCCCTTTGAATGAATCATCAGTTCCACTGCTACCGTTACTGGTGAACTATTGTTCTAGCTAGCTGGCCTTGTTTGAGTGCATTTACGTGATGGGCTTCCATCCCAATGCTGTAGCCCCTTTTGATGTGTTTCCAGCCAAGTACATGTTGCTCCTCGTGGGAGACAGCGGCCCATCTTCCTCTGCGGCGGATTTCGGCCTCGAAACCAGTGCGGTTGCGTAACCAAATCTTCCCAGCCTAGCTAGAGGAGAGCGAAGCAAAGTCATGATAATTTGTTTCGGTTGTAGCTAGTTCAAAGCGGACACCTTCTTCTTGCTTTGATCGCCTACCCCTCACCATTTCTCATAGGGTCTAATGTATGGAGATCCTTTGATGTCGGGTCGTGTTTTGCAACTGCAGTCTGGTGGCTGTGGCATAAAATGTTGACCCTTTTTGAAGCAACTTCTACAGCATTTGGGGAGGTACCCCGCCAGGCACCTTCCAATAGCATTGGCTAGCCGCGGTTGCAGTTCACATTGCCTGCGGCCACGGCTAGCTAGTCAATAATATAATATACACCCAGTATGTCCTACAGCTATTCTGTTAGTGTCTGTCTGTAGTTTGTCGGCAACATGATACAAACCCAACTTTTTTCGTATGGTACACTTCAGCAACCTGGATGCGACAGCCAAAAATTGAAGAAACAGCTAGTTCTCATGCATCAAACTGAACATGCAGCCATTTATTCCAGTGGATTGATCTAAAATTCAAGCATCTTCATCTCAACAGCCATCCCATTGCTTGTCGACTCCGCAACCTGGTTTACAGCAAAATGACAAGAATAGATTGTTGAGGATCTCCCTGGAGGCAATCACCAGATCATTTGCCATTCCTGGAGAAACTTACAACCACGCGATCAGACCAACAGAAGTTTGTGAGTAAACTTACTTCGTTTTAGTCCAGACCAAAGACCACCCAGATTCCAACAACATAGAATGCAAGGCCTATCACTGCCATTGGGAACTTGGGTTGATCCAGAACTTTCAACAAGAGGGCCCCCAGAGTTCCACACAAGACGTAAGCGAAAAAGATCTCAGCTGATGTGAAGTGATTGAGATCTGGCGCATAATAATAAAAGTAATAAATGTTCCAGCCAAAGAGAGAGAACGTGTTTGCCATAGTTTCCAGCATCATGGCATCAATACCCGTCAAGACACCCGAAAATAACGCATTTTCAATGTGCTGTTTCAAGCCCCTCTTGTGCAATGCCTGGCGCAAGAGGAAGAGATAGAACCCATACATGGGCCACATGACAGCACCGACACCGGACGTGTATCCATCGTGCTTGGGCCAGACATGGTACCGCCACACCTTTCGACCCAACAGGAACTCCGAAATGGTGCCAATTGCAATCTCGCAGGAAGCTCCACAGCAAAATGTGGCGCCACTGTAGAGTGCTATGCGCCGCCACTCCGGCTGGATCATCTCACCCGCCAAACCGCAGCAAAAAGCGTACAGTAAAGGCGTGAAAAAGAGGAAAAAGGCCAGCGTAAAGCCATACGCTGCTGGTCCTTCCAACTCTACCGTGGAGATTGCATCTTCTTGAAACCAAACTCCAACTACCAATCGAGAAACCACGTAGATTGTGCTGTAGAATACAGGGAGTGCCAACAGCAGTTTGCCCCAAACGCCTCCATTTCGTTGGTGCGGCTGGTTCGGAGACCGAGGCAGCGGTTTCCGGAACATCGTTGCGCGGTAAGGGTTATAAAGGCGGAGTGATTGCAGCGAGATCATGGTGGACGTGGTTCGGGCTAGCTAGCTAGAGCAGCTGGGAAGCAAGATACATGTAGCAAGATACATGTAGAGGAGTAGGAAATGCACATGGCTTTCGACGAACATGGTACAGACCGGTAACCCTATCAGGTGAGAATGAAGATGTCATCATCAGCGCAACGGACCCGTTTGAGCAAAAAACGATGAAAAGTAAAACCACGTTCCTTTCTGCATTACAATGTTTGGTAAACCGATTAACCGATTAGGACATCGAGTTTGCACAGCTGTCTTTGATGCAGAGTGTCACCGGACGGCAGCAGGAACACGCACGAGCCTTGATGTGCCTGCGGCTGACACCACTTGTTACATCAATGATTCTGATTCGTCACTCTAGCTAGCTAGACCTAGCTAGCTAGCTAGACTAGCTACATGTACATTTAGACTATTAATTTTAAAAATGTAGAGTAGTAGGTACCGGTAGAGTCCGTCATGTAAATACAGCTTTGAGGGTTTAACTTCAGCAAAGACTAATGGGTCACGAGTACGTCGGAATAGACGCGCGGCGCGCGCACGCGTCACGACACAGAGCCTCGAGGAAGAGCACCGACCGCACCGAAGCAGCAACGAAGCACGAAACCACCAGATCTGCTGTTGTTGTTGCCTTATGTGATCATTGTCACGGTCCCGACGAACCAACCTACCGTACTACTAGCTACCTGTACCAGCCAGAAGCAGCATTGTACAAGATGCCGAAACGGGAAAATGAGAATTCTCAAATGAGACGGGAAGACTACGAGGCCTTGAATGCCCGTCGCGGTGGAGGAGACGACGACGGCACGTTCACACAAGGATTTGAAAAGGCGACACCGGAAGTCGCCAAGAAGAGACGCATGCTCAGAGTGAGGCGCCCCGCATCGCAAAGCAAAGTGGCTGCTGCTGCGGCGACTCCTGCTGCGGCTACTCCTGCGAGTTCTTCCAACCCCTTTGCTTCGGTCAGCTTGACGGGAGGAGCTCCTGCGCCAGGAGCATTTTCATTCACTGCAGGAAGCAGCAGCCAAAATCCGGCACCGTCAACTGGAGTATCATTCAGTTTTGGAAGCGGCAGTACTCCAGCTCCTGCTCCCAGCAAGGGAGTGTCCTTTAGCTTTGGAGGCTCCACTCCAGCGACAACCAGCGCTACGACACCTGCGGCAAGCATCGGCTTTCCATTTTCGGGAACACCCGCCCCAGCAGCCAATATGGCCTCGACGGCAGGAGCCACTCCCGCTCCTTTTGGGTTTGGTAAAAAGAGCTCTACCCCCATCAGTGGTCAAAAAAAACTTGTCAAGCGCTACCAGGATCAAGCTTGTGCTTTTATAGACTCATTTGGCAAACAATGCAAAGAAATCAACCCACAAACCACTTATATGTTGCCCATTGTGGATCATGTTTTGGACGCTCTTTACGTGGTTGAAGATCAGTATTGGAAACACTGCAAAAAGGAGGAAGACGACAAATCACCAGCCACCGCCAGCAAAGATGCCATCAAATCCACGGCGGGCGCCACTCCTGCTCCTTTTGGGTTTGGAGCAAAAAGCTCATCTTCCTCCCCGTCCACAACAGCCGCTTCTCCTGCTCCAAATCTCTTTGGCAACCCAGCACCCGCTCCATCTGCTCCAAAGGGATTCGGGTTTGGTTCGACGAATGTCCCCAATACAGGTATGACCCCTGGATCGTCCTTTTCCTTTGCGGGTGGCACGGCGTTTGGTGGAGGAACCCCTGCTCCTGCGCCAAGCTCTGGAGCAAACGAAGCTGGTGACGCCCCAGCCGATGAAATTATAAAAGCTGCGTCGGGCGATGCCGATAAGGACTACAAGCTCCTTGAAACAATTCCGATGCTGCATGTAACTACCAAGGGGAAAGACGGAAAATTTGAAAAGAAATTCTCGGGGGAATTGAAAATTCAAGAACACAAAGAAAACCAAAAGAGGCGCATGATCATGCGAGACCAAGCAGTTGGCAAAGTGATGCTCAATTTGGCGTTGCCAGAGTGGATGGCATTCCAGTCTACCCCCTTCAAAAAAATGCCCAGCACTCTAACACAAGCAGCCATTTTCCCAGGGCAGATCACCGTGGAGCAAGAAGCTGGGTTGATCAGGTTGGTACGTCGAGGGCCCCAGACGCTCAAGTCGCTTGAGGATGTCTTTACAGGATTGGGAGTAGCAAAGAAAGGCTAGTGGCAAGCGTGTTGGGTCCAACAGATGGAGTGGGTTTATGATTATAGCGATCTTTCAATTGACCCCTGCAAATGCCAGACGATGTAGTGGTGTCGGGCTTCCTGCTCTAGCGATCTAATAAGGAGCCATAGTGACAATGCATTACGGTTTTTGCTTTAATTTCAACATCTTTTGTTTTGATTCGTCCTTGTCTTGAGGTGCCCAAGGCCCTTCTGTGATGCACCATTGTTTGACTGCTCTGTCCAACAATGCATCAAGTTCCTCGCTGGCTTCCTTCTTTGATGTGGTGTCTGCGCTTGTGCTCTGTATCGTTTCCAGGGCTGAGCGTGCTTGCGTAGAAGAAACCTCCTGAAGTTCGGGGCCAACAAGGAACTGCGACAGATTGACCCATTCTTTCGCCTTTTGAAGCTCTTCCAGCAGTCGTCCCGTCATTCCAGGACGTCCCATTGTGATGAAGCGGTTCTCTTCATCGGTCATGTAGTTCCACTTTTGATACTTCAGGACATCGTCGGCTCCGTTCATAACGAAATGTATAAAGGTAAGGTTGGGGTATTGTTTTCGAAGGTATGCCACGGAACATCCCTCCCAATCTTCCAAACCCATCCATTCCAGTTTCTGTTGCTGTATTGCAAGTTCCACCAAGTACCGTCGGTCCTCATACGGCAGCGGTGGTGCTGCACCCAAGCGAGCAAACTTGCGATCGACATAGGACTGCGCATTGACACTGGCAAAGCCCAACACAAGGTCCAAGTCTTCGAGATCCTCAGGACGGTGTATTTCGCTTGGCATTGAATCATTCGTAAGAAAATTCCGTGCTTGTACAAAGGCATCAATGTGGCTCACCGTCACTGGACTGAAAGTTCCAAGGAGCGTGACAATGGCAACAATGCCGCCGTCTTTTTTGGATGCAAGGGCGGTCAGGTGTTGGTGCATTCCTTGGGTGACCGCTGCATCATTGAGCTCTCGGCATCTTGGTCGGTACTGCTTCTTCTTCTTTTCCATTTGACTGCTTGTCTTTTGGTCAATGGCAACACCTAACGACGACGGCAACTTTGATTTTGGGAGCCTTGTGGTTTGGTTGCAGTCGTGCCTCAGTCAGTCGTGTCACAGGCGCTGGTCAGCCTCCCTCCACAGCGGAACAGACCTTTGGTAGCAAAATGACAACCAACAACACTGCTGATATCGTCGAAGACCAGCCGCCATGGGCATGGATCAAGTGCGTTCGCGACATGACCGATGCGCACAGTTGCCGACCTAATGTGGAGCTCCCAGTGGAAGTGCTTCCATGGTTATTGATCTCGGACAGAAAATCGTCTTTGAATGTGAGCAAGCTCAAAGAGCACCGCATTACCCACATTCTGTCCGTCCACGCCGTTTCACCCCGAGAAGAAGGATACTATCAAGAGAGACTCGATGGCACTGGTATTGTCCACAAACGCGTCTCGTGTGACGATACCGAAGGATATCCCATGATTGATAGACACTGGGCCGATTGCCTCCAATTTTTGAGGACAGTGAGAGCAACCCTCAATGGACGCGTTGTGGTGCATTGCGTCGCAGGAGTGAACCGATCCGGTCTCATTTGCTGCGCTGCGCAAATGGTTCTGGAACAGCAACCCTTGCTGGATGTAGTCCGACACTGCATCGACCGGCGAGGGGCTGTCCTTTGGAACCGATCCTTCCAGCGTCAGTTGTGTGACTTGGCTAAACGGGAGGGTTTGCTAGGTCCGCCTCCTCCAGGATATACCGATGAACCATTGGTAGATACAATCCCAGCACCCCCACCCGCACACTGCATCATCATGGAAAAGCAGACCGTGAAATCTACCATGGCAGCCCATATAGAAGATCGTCTGGCCACACTGAAAAAACAGAGTACAAACTGCAACCAGCTATGCTGAACACGAGCCATGGGCTGGCCACCACTCTGCTTCTTGGTTTGACTCGATCCAAGATCCATGACGTATTTGGTCACAGAGATTGTAGAACGCCTCATTTAGTTGCTTTCCAGTATGGATGCTAGCTCGGATAATGATCTTCTGGCTCATGAAAAGCAGAAAAGTCCCTTATTCCAGCCATGGGCTGACTTTCACTCCTCTCCTTGGCATGGCTTTTAGCTCAATTCGCCGCAAAAAGGTTCAATAAGCACACCAAACTGGAAGTGTATCTACTGCGGTATTATATATGTGAAATTATCAGAAATTAGCATTTCCGTCACAGATTCCCAAACAACTCCCACGTTCATCCAAAATGTTGGCACAGGTGAAAGGTCGCTTCCAGGCCCCCGTGTCCAAATCATATCCAAGCTCTTTTCCCGCCAAACGACCAACCGATTTGTCGTCCAATTGGCTTAGTTCTGATACAGAGAAAACCCATTCGTCCGAGCTGGCATCATCTGTCCTTGCTGTCAAGTCGACCAGTTGCTGCAGCTTTGTTCTATTGGTCGTGGGTTGTCCCAAGGACACGGAATAAATGGTCGGAGGTGGTCGTTGAAACCATTCCGTAGCCCGAGGGTAGTATTGATCCTCTACCATGGCAAGGCCCAACTCTCCAACAATGTAACTGGAACTGACGAGTCGAAACCAGTTGAGTCTATAAATCATGTGATTCCTTCGAGCAGAAGTGATGCGAATGGCCCGTCCAGTCTGTTTTGCAACATAAACCAACACTTTCATACATTGGTTGAGCAATTCCTCATCTTGTTGTGTATTGTTGAAGGCTCGATCCAAAGTGATTGTTTTCTGTGACAAATAGTGGGGTCTGGAAGGTGACCCAAAAAAGGTTTTCATGGCAATTTGAGGGAGAATCCCTCCTTCGATACAGGTGCCATGTGCCACTACGTGATTGGGGTGGTCGTTTTCATCGTAATTGCCCAGCATAAGGTTCATGCACATTTTACGGGACAACAGTTCGTAATTGTAGGGCTCTCCACAAATGCCGTGACAGATCTTCGAATGCTCATCTGCATCACTGGTAATGTTCGTTGACTGCATCGTTGGTACAACTCTCTTTAAGAAGTTGTTAAAAATTCCTTGATCGAATCCTTGCGTCAGGTCAAAGACTTGCTGTATATACCCAAAGAGAGCAAGCGTGAAGGGGCCGGGATAGGCTAGAAGAATGCCAAAGTTGGCTTTTGAGTTTTCTGCTTGACTAGACAGGGATAGATTGCGGTTGCGGACCTTCATGGCTTTGTAGGGGTGCTTCAAGAACAACACATCGGCATCGAAAAAGAATATTGCATCTTGTTCCTTCAATATTTTCAAAGCAATGTCAGTCTTCCCTAAGGACACCAAGCACCGTGTGTTGGAGACCGTTGGATTGTCGAGACATTGAGACTTGGCGACAAGTGGGTGTGATATTGTGAAGGATTCCAGTCGAACTAGTTTGTTGGAAGAGTCGTGTCGAAAATGATCCAGGCACTCCTCATCAATGCAATCAATACCAATGGAATCTTGAGGCAATCCAACATCCTGCAGGGCATTGACAAAGTGTTCCAATGCCCAAATGAAGCTGGCACCCCCCATTGTGAAGTACCAAATCTTGTTTTGAAAGTCTGGCCTTGGAGGACCAGGAGGCACTTGTAGCGTTTTCTTCCGATCGGCACACTGTGATGCCTGAGAACACGTTGCTGTTCTTGTCTCTGCTCACGAACTGGAAGGTTGGGGCTGGAGCTCCAGGAGAAGGCTAGGCACTTGGCGCAGTTCCTTTCCTACTTCGCCATTTTGACAGTTTGGATGGTCTCGGACAAGATTCGTGTAAGCTTGGTGAAATTTCGTTTTGTGTGTAGTCATAGCAAACTTCAGTCGCTCGGCACATGAAGATTTGCCAGCCCAAATAGTACATCTTGGACATAACGTCAAATTTGTTGGTGATTGTGTTCTCGTTGGAGGTAATGGTGTTTCAGCCAAAGCCTTGACACTGATGCTGTTGTTGCTACCGCCACCGCCACCGGTACTGCTAATGTTGGTGTTCGCATTGGTTGGCAATAACAGCCATTGTTTCTCTACCACTATCTGGACACTGGTACAACAAGCAAGGAGACAGAGCAAGGAGACTGAGACAAACGAAATCGCTGCAAGACGACCTTGAGGTGGACCTCTGGTCTTCTTTTCTTCTTTTTTGGTCTCCTTGGGAGCAGTTTCCTCATACTGTATGTATTCTGTCGGCATGCAGCATGGAGGCCTACACAGCGGGGTTTCCTATGCTGGATATACGGTAGATAAGGCTCCTCTAGATTTTGTTCTGTCGGTTACCATTAGCTACTTCCAGCTATCATAACGAAGTAGCTTGGCTAGCGCAAAGAGCGACCTGAAGGATTATTGAATTGTGAGCTTAGTTTATCTAGTTTGTGTAGCCAAATACTGTTTATTACAGTTTGCTTTCTTCCTTTCTATGTACCAAGAGGTGGCCCTGTGCACTGCTATGCATGCTGCCTACTTAGATGATTAAGCAGGGTGGTCCACACTGGCAATAATCTCACATGCCCTCAGATGCTGTGCGGGTAACATGAGCTCCTCTTTTGTCATGAATTCGGCTGCCCATTGTAATAGTCCTTCTCGTTGCGCCTCAAACAATGCTCGCGGTTGTGGCTTCGTTGCAATGTCAGCCAGTTGATGCTCACTGATGACCTTGTGGATGGTTACCTTGCCCCTACGCACGTATTCCCTGAAATGGTGGTATTTGACATTGATGTGTTTCGTCCTTGACCTCATTTTAGGTAGCCTTACCATCTCCAACGCTCCAGAGTTATCCTCCCACACTTTACAATGCACTTTAGGAGCGTTGGTTGTCATGGTCCACCCGATTCGCTTAGAATTGTCCATTAGGTCCATCAGGTGAATGACATACCTGAGACTCTCTGATACTGCTAAGTACTCGGCTTCGGTAGTCGACAATGCCACTTCCCGTTGTATCTTGGATGCCCAAACTACTGGGCAACATCCGTACGTGATCACGTACCCAGTACGAGATTTTGCCGTACCTGGGTCTACTGCTGAGTCGAGCTTGTTCCAGTTGCCAACGAAATCTGCGTCTACCCAACAGTCAAACGAGTGGCTTCTTGGATTCAGAATAATGCCATGCTTCCTCATTGACACCAAGTATCTGACGATATGCTTGATGGCTTGTGCATGCGACTCCTTTGGATCAATGGAGAATCTGGCGCACTGATGCACTGAGTAGGCAATGTCCAACCTGGTCGACTTCTCCAAGAAATTCATCTTGCCGACTATGGCGCGATAGCTCCATTCCTCGTCGTATGGTTTGCCATGTATGTCGCGGTGCAGCTTTTGTGTGGATGGGGCTGGAGTTGGCTTCCCCTTGGTGACGTGTTTCGAGTCGCCTTCGCGCTGTTCGAAACTCAGGTCCTCCAGTATGCTGTTGATGAGGTGTGGCTGTGATAGCTTTATCGCGCCATTGTCCAACCTTTCCGTCTTTACACCTAAGTAGTCACTCAGGTCTCCTTCGTCCGTCATCTTGTAACCTCGATGTGTGATTCCTTTCGCATCCGTGTACTCATTCTCAACCAGGTCATAGCACGCTCGAATTTCTTCCTGTGTAGGGCCTATGAAAATTCCGTCGTCTATGTAGACCATGAGCGCTACAGAACCTTTATAGTAGACACACATGTCTACACTGCTCTGTATGAAACCCCTAGCCACGAGACCGTCGTGGAGGAACTGGTTCCACACCCTTCCAGCCTGCTTCTGCCCATAGAGGTTGCGTTTGAGTTGCAGTACATGCTTCTTGCGATTGCCGTCGAATTCAAAGCCAACCGGTATTTCCATGTACATATCGCACTCAATTTCGGCTTGTGGAAATGCAAGCACGAAGTCGATCTGTCTGGATTGCCAATTGTTGAGTATCATCAGGATAAGGAAAAGCCTTATGGTGGACCATCCCACTACCGGCGAGTATGTCTCCCAGTAGTTAACCCCGTGTGTCTGC